TCTCTTTTTTTCTGTATTTATAATGTCCCCTAGCTATCAAAATTAAAAGTTAACCATGGATAAGTTGGGAGGGTCCTATACTATTATACGCACAATCAAATTGGGTGGGAATGGGCATATTAGATTTGTCAGGAAATAGAACCAGAACACATTTACAGTAAATTGTAAAATTTGATTTATCAAGGTTTTTCCACTCTTTTTTAATGTTTAAAAAACTTTAATTGTAGATAATTTTATACTTATAGAATAGTTGCAAAAAGCAAAAATGTATAAAAAACACCTGCATACCCTTTATCTAGATTCATCTAATCTTAATATTTTACCCCACTTGCTTTATCTTTTGTTCTCTCTTCTTCTCTTTACACATATGTATGTTTGTGTTTAATGACATTGGCATTTTCAAGAATATAGTCCTCTATCCTTTTTTTCATTGTTAGAACTTTTAAAAATTGGATATAATTCATGCATCATGCAACTCACTTTTAAATTTTTTTTTGAGTTAGAGTCTCACCCTGTCACCCAGGCTGGAGGGCAGTGGTGCGCTCCCAGCCACCGCCGCCTCTACCTGCTGGGCTCCAGCGATCCTTCCGCCTCAGCCTTCCAAGTAGCTGGAACTATAGGCATGTGCTACCATGCCTGGCTAATTTTTTTGATTTATCGTAGAGACGAGGTCTTGCCAAGTTGCCCTGGTGGGTCTTGAACTCATGTGCTCAGGCAGTCCACTCGCTTCTTCCTCTCAAGTGCTGGGATTACAGGCTGAGCCACCGAGTCTGGCCTGCCACACACTTTTTAAAAGTATGCAATTTACCTTATTAAAGTGTAGAATTTAGTGGGTTTTGGTATATTCCTAAGATTGTGCACCCATCACTATGATCTAATTCTGGAACATTTTCATCACCTCAAAAAGAAACCCTGTACACTTCAGCAGTTATTCCTCATTCCACCCCTTTCTCAGCCCCTGGCAACCATTAATCTACTTTTTATCTCTTTGGATTTGGCTATTCTGGGCATTTCATATAAATGGAACTATATCATATGTGACCTTTTGTGTCTGGCTTCTTTCACTTGGCAAAATGTTTTCAGGGTTTATCAGTGTTGTTTCATGAATCAGTACTGAGTCATATTAAGTGCTGAATAATATCCCATTGTATGGTTGAGTGATATTCTGTTCATGGATATGCCACATTTTGTTTATGCACTCACCATTTGGTGGACATTTAGATTGCTTCTACTTTTTGGTCATTATGAATAATGCTGCTATGAACATTCTTATACGAGTTTTCATGTAAATTTATGTTTTCAGTTATTTGGGAGTATACAAATAGGAGTATAATTTCTGGGTCATGTGAGTCAAATAGAACTGCTGGGTCAAATTAAACTCTATTTAACTTTTTGAGAAATGACCCACTCATTATTTTTTGTTTCTTTTCTGGAAAATGTTTCCTACTCTTTTTCTACTCTTTGAAAATTCAGGGCAGTGACTCTGGGATTGGGATGGTGGATGCTTTTTAAAATTTCAGATGTCCTCCCAGAAATTTAATGTTGAGGATAACTTCTTTAAAGTCTAGCATGGTGCTCCCATCTGGACCTGAGAAGAAAATACCAAGACGATTTGGCTTAGCAGAATAGTTCTTTTCATTTGTGTTTGATGAATTTCAGTGCTTTTAGTTTTCTCTTTGGTTCTATTAGAATGATTATTGGCAGCCTTAGTTGTTTTAGGATATTGGAATGCTTCCTAAGTGGGATGTTATTTATCTTTATCTAATGGTTTACAAGGACAACTGGGAATCCATTCAACAAATAAAGGTTTTCTTCATTTTTTGAAAAGTCATGGAAAAAATGGCACAATATAGCATTAGTCATATTCATTAAAATGGAAGAAAATATAAAAATAAATTTTGTTAGTATAATTATTTAAAAGATATGATGGCAAATGTAGACAAAGGTGTGGGAATAAAATTTGATTAGATAGTATTTTAATGTCTATAAAAATTGCTTGTCTTGAGGGGGAAAAAATGAAAAACTTGAGTTTCTACCTAGTTCAAGCATCTTTAGTCATAGGTGAGAAGATCTTTCATTATATTAAGAAGCTAAAGAAATACATAATTCAATCAAGGATAAGAGTTGCAGTAATGGTTGGAGAATTCTATGAGATAATGGAAAAATTAGGTAACATTTAACTTAGATTAAGTAATCTAAGACTGTAGGCTACAAGGACTGTGAGGTCAACTCTGTCTTGAAGTTATGAAATCTTTACTATATATATAATAAATATTAGAGTCATTGAGAAGAATCCAGGAATGTCCTAGCTGAAATCTCTGATAATAGTGAAACTTTAATCAAATTAAAATGATATCACCAAAAATGCCTCAGCATGATATAACTGTTTCAACAATGGATATGCAACTTTTAACTCTAGGAAGATTTAGAGTTAAGTATAAAAATACTCGAGAATCAAACTCATGGGATTAATAGTTTTATGTTAAAGAGATAATACATATTTATTTTATGTACTTATAACTTAGCTCATTAGAGTAACATATCAGTCTTCTATTTCCCTTTTCAGTTTTATAATTAATTGAATTATTCTTGTGATTTTGAAATAGAGCTCTACCAAATTTTTATGCATGATATAAATTTATGTATAATGTATAAAATATACATTATATATATTTATGAAAACTTGTCACCGTATTTATACACTTTATTTATTAGATTTATAAAGATTACTTAAAGTACTTGGAAGCTTGTGATATGAGTGAAATGTCTAAAGTAAATGGAATCTCTCAGGTTATTTAACTAAGTTTGTAAAATGAATCCAATTTTATTCCAAGCTGTTAAAAATAATTTTTGGTTAGATGCTAGACATTGTAAATGTATTGTTTCTAGGGCTTGATTGCTTTTCTTTACAGAGTGTTGAACTTTGTTCTTGTAGGCAGTTGTTTGCGGATTAGCTTGAACTTTATAGGGCTTGTCTTTAGGCTTTATTGAGCAGATCTAGAGCAGATACTACTCTAGGACTAGCCCTGCCACTAAGACACGACCTTTCTTGGGTCTCTGCTGAATGCTCGCAGTGTTCAAGAGGCCTCTCTGCTCTAAGGGGTTAGATGTTGAATGACTTCCAGCTCTATGTAAACTCTGGGAATTTTTCAGTTTATAACTCCCCAATTATTCTTGGCCTTGTGGAGTTCACCCTGTGCATGCATGGTTTAGCAGTCCATTCTCAGGCCCTTTCTTTGAGAGCTTCCTCTTTTCTAGTATTCTGCCCTGGAAATTCCTGCTGCTTGAGCCTCACTCTCAGAGTTCTGCCTCTCCATGCCGTGGTCTACATGTGCCTTTTGTCAGAAGGCTGGGGCTGTTGTAGGGATTACTTCCCATTTCTTTCCCTTCTCTCAGGAATCCTAGTGTTTTTTTTTTTTGTTTTTTTTTTTTGAGTTGGAGTCTCACTCAGTCGCCCAGACTGGAGTGCAGTGGCCGCTCCCGGCCACCGCAGCCTCGACCTGCTGGGCTCCGGCGATCCTTCCGCCTCAGCCTTCTGAGTAGCCAGAATTACAGGCATGTGCTACCACACCCAGCTGATTTTTTTGATTTTTTTTATTGTAGAGATGAGGTCTCGCTACCCAGACGGGTCTTGAACCCACGGGTTCAGGCAATCCACTCACCTCAGCCTCCAAAAGGCACGGGATTACAGGCTGAGCCACCAAGCCCGGCTAGGAATCCTAGTCTTAAAATGCCTGTTGTTTAATGTCTGAAAACAGTTAAAATACACACGCACACACATGCAAACACACATAAATGTTCTAGTCATTTCTGAAAACACATTTAAATTTTTGTTTAGAGGTGGACATACATTATGTCTACAAAGCTTGACAAACAGCTAAGCCTAAGGTCAATGAGGCAGTGGTGTACTCTCTCTATAGGAAAGCATAACAGGAGTGGAGAGGGAATGAATACTTGTGACCAATAAAGCAGTCTACGAGAGATGTATAGCAAACTCCTGTTGATCTGTTATCCCAATGTTTCCCAAACAGCAAGATGTTGATAATGGTGATGAAAATGATGATGATGATAATACATGTTCAATAAATGTTAGCTACATGCCAGGGTACTACTATTCCAGTTAACTTATATGTGTGAATGACTAACAATAACCCCATGAGATAGATACTATTATTACCATTTTATAAATAAGCAGACTGAAAATAATGGAGTTGAATCTCTTGTCTGAGGTAAGTTGGACCCAGATATGAAAGCTAGGTAGTCTGGAGAAATTCTGGTTAGTACAGTGTACTGTATTCCACCTTAGGATGTGGAAGAGTCTGAGTAGTTCTACAGCGAAGACATCTGTTTAACTTTATTAAACCTAACTTTTTAATTTTGTTTTGGAGTTTGGATATCTATTATCAGTAGATGGCCAGTATTTCATAGAATGCTTGTACTATAAGATCCACGTGGGCAAAAACTGTGTCCTACTTGGCTTTGGAGTTCAGAGTTCAGAGTACTCACTTGGGTGTTGAACACATGTTGTTTTCCTCTCAGCTCTCTCTCTTCTGTGTTCTTAAGCCCCTGAGCCTCAGTTTCCTCATAAAATAGAAATGACAGTATCTACCTCATACGGGTGAGGATTATTAAGTGAGATGGTAGGAACATTTAGATGATATTAGCTTTTAGCATAGTACCTGGTATATAGTAGGAACCAAGTAAATGCTAGCTTTTTTTACTGTTGTTGTTCTTATTGTTGTTACTATTGCTATTCCCATTGTAGGCCACATGGTTATTTCAATAAATGTTTGTTGAATGAGTGTATTAATTTCAGTTACATCATTTAATGTTTTTAGTGTGTCTGCAGTTCTAAATTTATTTGTAAATTACAGAAAATATATATCATGTTAATATGTTTGATAGTACCATATCGTTCAGTGAGCCTTTATTAATTTAGATTTGCTACCTAAAAGAGAGATTGAAATGTTGTCTCTCTCTCTCTCTCTTTTTGAATTTAGAGACCTATTACTACGTTTCTCCATTAGTTGGTGTCTTTTTCTTGGCTCTAACTCCTATTTGGATTATAATAGCTGCCAAGCATCCAGCCACAAGGACAGTTCTCCACTCAGGCTGGGAGCCTGTCATAACAGCTATGGTTATAAGTAGGTTAGTATTAAAATATGTGTGTGTATATTCTATATGCATGTATGTATGTGCTTACTAAAGCAAATCAGTTGCTTGTTTTTATTTCTCAGATTAATTATTTATTTAATCAATTCGTTATTCTCCTGGGTAATAAGGAATCTAAGTGACAAGAATTACTGAAATCAGTAGATGCACAGAACTTCATTTGGCTACAGTTTCAAACTCCTCTCTAACCAAAGCCTTACCAGATTGTTGGCTAAGATTTAGTGGTGTTCATCTGTGGGGGATGTGTGTGTATATACCTGACAAGAACATTACTTATTTTCGAGTATTAAATTGCTCAGATAAGTATTAGAAAGCCTTAGAAATGCATATACCGTTTGACTCCTTCCACACCTAAGACTCTGACAAACTTAAAGATGTAGTTTAGGCTGTATGCAAAAGATTTAGCTGCAGCCAGCCTCATCACAGTGGAGTTTTTAATAACAAAAAAATGAGAACAACTTAAAGGCCTAGCAATCAGATATTGATCAGATAAATTGTGATAGAGTCACAAAATGGATATTAGTCACCCATTAAAGATAACATTGTAGCATTTCTATTGCTATGGAAAGATGTTCATTATACATTTGGTGAAAAGAGCTGCTTAGAAAAGAGTGAATTTCCTGTTAAGCATGGTGTATTAAGACACGTTTGTCTTTTTCCTTCCTGAAACTATTAAAATAACATTAAAAGAATAAAAACGCTACGAAACCACAAAACAGAAGGGGAATAGAGGGGTAGCAGATGAGAGATTTGACAAAATTAGGAAGATAGGAACCAGATGGGTAGTTATTAACTGAATAGGCAGTATGAAGAAACTGGGACCTAACCACCTCAGAAGCCCAGAAAGTCAAAGGAGCTAGAGGCACTAAGTGCCTCTGAAGACTGGAATGAAGAAGATTGGATGAAAGTTTAGGTAAGAAGCAATTAGACCCCATAAATCCTTCTCCAGCTTGAGCACTCATGACTGCTCCCTTCCACGGTAGCAGAATGCAAGAATAAACTCTGAGGAGGCTAAATCAAAGAGGTTCTAGATTTAGACACACCTGCACTTCCTTTTCTTTGTTCATAGGATGCTGGCAGTCAGTCTTACACCCCCAGGCAGAAAATGAGATAATTCCTTTCTGGGGAAACTTGCCAACACAGAAGAGCAGACGGGTAGGTACTGACCCTTATGAGTCCTTTAATGAAAGAGCTGCAAGACCACCCAATGGCTCTTCAGTGAGACCCGCTTCCTGACAGATTGTCCATGTGCACAGAGAACTCCAAGTATGCTTTGCAGGGCTCCCTCAAAAGGAGTGGGTAGTACAGGGTTGTCAGACACTTGATGAAGGCCTCTCACACGAAACTTAACCAAAAAATGAGACTCAAAGAAAGTGTAGGGACAGTTGGAAAACCCAAAAGACTATTAGTAGTGTCAGAGAAATAAGAGAGGTATTGTTATCTGTAATGTAGGAATAGAATGTTGCATAAGGACGATTTGAAAAATGGGAAGAGCTCTTGGGAATTTGAAAATATGTAAATAGCAGAAATAGAAGAATTCCATGTAAAAGTTGGAAGATAAAGTGGAGGAGCTCTCCTGGAAAGCAGAACCCAAAGCAAGGAAGTGGACAATAGGAAGCTAAATGATAAGGAGAGAAAATGATCAAAGAAATGATGCAAGAAAATTCCCTAGAACTGAAGAGAGCATGCTTCCAAATTGAAAGATCCCACTGAGCATACAGCACAATACATTAGTGCAGGAGGGACCTAAGTCAAAGTGTGTTCTCATAAATCCTCCCCAAAAGAAGTTATGTATAAAGGATTGGGGATCAAAATGATGTTCAATAGCAATATCAAAGTGATTCCTTCAAAAGGATGAAGGAAAATTATTTTGAGCATAAAACATAGTCACAGTATCAACTAAGTGGAAAGAAACGTTCAACTTGTTCTCAAATCAGGCAAAGTGGGGACCAAAGATAGGCCCAAACTTTACTGTATGATTGACCACTTGTGTAATTAATCCTGAATTATATCCCATATCTTTAAAATAAAATTTTTAAAAAGGCCAGGCTCAGTGGCTCATGCCGGTAATCCCAGAAATTTGGGAGGTGGATGTGAAAGGATTGCCAAGCCCAGGGGTTCAAGAGCAGCCTGGGCAGCTTGATGAGACCTTGTCTCTACCAAAAAAAGAAAAAAAGAAATGTTCAAACATGCAGTATCTCATAGAATTTACTTCCCATATGCCCTTTCATGTAAAGCTGAAAGGAGATGTGATCTATCAAAATAAGGAAATAGATCAAGCAAGAAGATGACACAAGAATGAGGAAATGCACTCTATGACAGCATATGACCCATTTTTTGTAGGGTAGGTAGATTGGCAGGAGGACAGTGGGCTTAAGGAGGGATGTCTCTGCGGGAAAAATGGTGGAATTGATTGGTTGCCTGATGAATTTGGCTGCATTGAGAGGTATTTTATTAACTTTGTCACATATTTGAGGCTGAATTAGTAATAGGTACCTAAAAAGTGAAGAAAAACATGAAGCAAAGTAGAATATACAAGTGAAGATGCCTCTAATCCCAGTGCTTTGCGAGGCCAAGGCAGCAGGATTGCTTGAACTCAGAAGTATAGCTATGATTGTGCCACCACACTCCAGCCAGGGCAACAGAGCAAGACCCTGCCTCTCACACACACACACACACACACACTTTGTGGCTCGGTTGTGAATAATGATTCCTTTGCTATAATTAACATCAACCCTAAATATTTCACCACACATTCTAACCAGATTGGGAGGATGGGGAAGGAAGGGGTTTGTGAAGGGATGGAAGTGGGGTAGGAAGTGTGAGGGAGACTAAATCTTCATCTGCCATAGTGGAAAGTCATTCGATAAATGTCTGAAATGTTAATATATGCAGTATAATCATGTTATTTAGAAATATTGAGTTAAATGCCAGAAGAAACCACTAAAGAAGTTGAAAAGAATTTCTAGTGAAAAAAGAAGACTTTGGGGGTGGAGCTAGGGACTCTCAGTTTTATTATTAACTTTGCTTTACTTTTTCAATAATGCACATATGTTTGATAAAAATAAAAATTATTAAAAAGTAAAGACAACTACTTTTACAATTTGATCCCATTTTTATTTTTAAAAATACACATATTAAGCAATGTTTAGGAATGGAGTTGGGAAGATGTTGACTGACAAATTAAAAATTTCAGGTTGCCGGGCTCGGTGGCTCAGCCTGTAATCTCACGCCTTTGGGAGGCTGAGGTGAGTGGATTGCCTGAGCCCGCAGGTTTGAGACCCGCCTGGGCAACTTGGCGAGACCTCATCTCTACAATAAATCAAAAAATCAGCCAGGCGTGGTAACGCGCGCCTGTAGTTCCAGCTACTGCGGAAGGCTGAGGCGGAAGGATCGCCGGAGCCCAGCAGGTCCAGGCTGCGGTGGCCGGGAGCGGCCACTGCACTCCAGTCTGGGCGACAGTGAGACTCCAACTCAAAAAAAAAAAAAAAAATTTCAGGCCAGAGAATTGGGTTCAAGAGATCTATAGTCCATGGTGACGAGAGGTAATAACAATGTATTGTATTCTTGAGAATTGCTAAGAGAGACTCTAAGTGTCTTCACCACAAAATTATGTATGTGAAGTAATATACATGTTAAGTAGTTCAATTAAACCATTTCACTATACTTTTATCTATTTATTATATACATATTACATATATTTCAGACCATCATGTGGTACAGGATGAATACATGCAATTTTTATTTGTCAATTAAATAAATAAATAATAAAATAAAATATGTAAGTATAAAAATGCCTGGAAGGCTATGTAAAATATACTAACAGTATAACTCTGGATGATGTAACTAGAATTGATTTTTGTTTTCTTTTTTTGGTTTGTGTTGTTTAATTTTTTTCTATAGTAAGTTTCATTATCTAGTAACAAAAATACTTTGAAACATTTTCAGCAAATCATCATGCTATATCACATGATCTATGTGCTTTGGCAGGTAGATTTATTCTTTGATTCATAACTAGGTTCTTGAAATATGTGTTCTTTTAATTAGGGCTTAAAACATTACAGTATTTTCAAGGAGGACTATTTTGGGGTGCTATCATATACCTTTTTAATAGGAGTCCCCACAGTTTAGGAATATTAAGTCATAAGTCATTTATTTTATTAAAGAATTAAAATAATACAGATTTAATAATTTCCCAGTGTTGAATATCAGATATTGGTAAGAACATTTGATCTGACATTTTGACAACAAGTCCCACTCTGTGACAACATGTGGTTCCTTTTGCTGTAATGTGGATTTCATTTTCCTGGTAGGTTTAGGCAGCAGGATCCCATGGAATCTTGGGACTGGCAATGTTTCATACTACATGGACCAAGAAACTGAAGTTAACCCGCTGATAATGGTCTTAGAAACTTAAAAAATCTCCAAGTTCTGTTGAAACATTAAGAATGTATAACTTGCCATTATATAACTCTATGTCATTTTTCTAGACTTTGTTTACTCAAGATCAGCTCTTTCTGTGGCTACAACTCATTGTTTTAATTTTCTAATGATAAGACATTGTAACAGCATCTAGTTTTAATGGAATAAAAATCGTCCCTTTAATGCTTCACTTCAAATATAACAAGATTCTCTTTTTAAAATTATTTTTTCAGCCAGGCTCGGTGGCTCAGCCTGTAATCCCGTGCTTTGGGAGGCTGAGGTGAGTGGATTGCCTGAGCCCGCGGGTTCAAGATCCCCTTGGGCAACTTGGCCAGACCTCAAATCTACAATAAATCAAAAAAGAAAAAAAAAATTAGCTGGGCGTGGTAGCGCATGCCTGTAGTTCCAGCTACTTGGAAGGCTGAGGCGGAAGGATCGCCAGAGCCCAGCAGGTCAAGGCTGCAGTAGCTGAGAGCGGCCACTGCACTCCAGTCTGGGTGGCAGAGAGAGACTCCAACTCAAAAAAAAATTATTTTTTCAATTATAAGAGTAATAGATGGCATGGTTTTAAAAATAAACACAGAGAGATATAACATGACGGTCAGTCCCCTGTCAGTCTCACCCCTACAGATAGAGATGGTTACTATTCCTTATTATGTCCTCCCAGACATTTTTTTTTTTTTTTTGAGTTGGATTCTCACTTTGCCGCCCAGATTGGAGTGCAGTGGCTGCTCCCGGCCACCGCAGCCTCCATCTGCTGGGCTCCGGCGATCCTTCCGCCTCAGCCTTCCATGTAGCCGGAATTACAGGCATGCACTACCATGCCCAGCTGATTTTTTGATTTATTGTAGTGATGAGGTCTTGCTGCCTATGCGGGTCTCAAACCCGTGGGCTCAGGCAATCCACTCACCTCAGCCTCCCAAAGGCGTGGGATTACAGGCTGAACCACCGAGCCCGGCTTCCTCCTAAGCATTTTAATGTACTTAAAGAACATGCTTTTTCTTTTTACAAGTAGCATGTCTTAGAAACCAGAGCCCTAAAATTTGGGGCTATAGCTTATGCTGTGTTTTATTTTCAACATGTTACTGTTGACATGGATTTTTACTTTGAATATTTCTCTTATTGCTCTATATTTTGGCAGTTGAGGGAAACTGCTAGGGGAGGGAGGGGCATACCTCATCAACAAGGGTAACTCCATGTTCAATGTTTATATACCTAACCCTGAATTGTACCCCACATCTTTATAATAAAAAAAATGTGTAATAAATAAATAATAAAATGTATACATACTTTATTTTTAAAAGTAGGGAAGTCTGTATGGACAGAACACTTCAAGTACATTCCTCTTCTGGTTTTCTAAATTATGTAATTTTATACTTTTCAGCATTGGGGGCCTTATTCTGGACACCACTGTATCTGACCCAAACTTGGTTGGGATTGTTGTCTACACACCAGTTATTAATGGTAAGAATTAGATACACTGTTTCATGATAATATCAAATCTTTATATACTCCCAGGTAACAGGAGTCTTAGGGTCAAATTCAAGGGACCTGTCCTCCCATCTCATCCATTCTCCCTCTAGCCCACGTTGTTGCTCCAGTGTTGCCCAGTGGAAATTGCATTCCCTGGTGTCAGAATGTAGAACTTATTTTTTAAAAGAATTGACTCATAATCCTATCATTTGAAAGTCAGGCATACCTGACTTAAGGTGAGTGTGGCAAAATACGGTATTTCAAATCTGCATTATCATTTACTTTGGGCTTATCTGCTTTCTTATATTGTTTTATTACTGCTTCTATCAATTTTCCTGGATAAAGTTAGTTATGTTTAAGCATTGCTTGAATCAGTACAATTCATTAAAATTTATTTTAGATCTCTGCTGATCCCTTTAAAGTCTGCCTTATGCTTTTTTCTCATCTATACATGAAAATAAAATAATATTTAAATTCACAGGAATTTTTGCATGAATTACATTTAATAAAAATAATTTTAATCCTATCCTACTGTCTATGAGATGGCTGTCATTTAACTGAATTTTAGTATAGCCTAGACCAATATAATGTTAAAAAGTAATTCTACCTGGGAAAAACATGTCAAGGGATATAATGTATATTTGATATAAATTACTTTTGTATATCTATGTAAAATAAAATGTTATACAAAGTTCTCCAAAAATCTAATTCATATCTAAAATTCTACTGAACACTTTTATTTTTGTATACCTTTAGAATATCCTTTAACAAATTTCCCCTATAGGTTTCCCTGTTTTCCCAGTGCCACCATTCTCTCCCTCACTTTCCCTTAAAATCTCAGAACCATCTATCTCAACCTGGGCCCTTCATCCTCTTTGACTAGAAGATGGCCAAATGTCATCTGTTTGCCCTCTAACACAGGTCACTTGTTATTTCTTTTCTATAACAAACATATCCCACCATCATAGTCTAAGGTCCCTCTGCAGCCATCATTCAAGTAATAAGAGTAGCCTTCCTGACTCCGTGCAAATTAAAGGACACTAACACACTAATCTTCCTTAAACGTTGTTTTGATGAACTTAACAATGGTCTCCTCCTACCTATCAAATCTAATTTGAATTCTTCAGCCTAACTTTCAAGGCCTTCTATATGCTGTTGGACTCAATATTTCCGAAAGATGTGCATGACATTTTCCATGATCATTCTAACTAGATTCTTTTATTGTCTCTGTAAGATCATCTAATTTTCATTGCTGGGATTACTCTTATTCCTTCCACCTGTTCATGTTCTCTTCTGTGAATATTAATTGATGAATTCTTTAGCATAAATATTACTCAATAATGACTGTTAGACCTGTATTGAACAACATTTCCGTGAGAAATTTAGCTGAAATTACAACGACCTTTTTATGAGTATGGCTTTAATGAATATCTCAGTTCTTTTATCTTACGTAAGAAACAACTCTAAAGCTACACTGCAGTGCTCTCCTTGGAAGCCTGTGCCATAGCCCAGTGTGGTAGTATAATCTTTTTTTGTATCTTAGTAAGTAAACTTCTTAGTTGGGTATCACAAAGAGCTCATCTTATGTTAAATTCCATTCTTTGGAAACATTGAGCCAGGCGCAGTGGCTCATGCCTGTAGTTTCAGTGACTGAGGCAGAAGGATCGCCTGAGCCCAGCAGGTCGAGGCTGTGGTGGCCATGAGTGTGCCACTGCACTCCAGCCTGGGTGATAAAGTGAGACTCTGACTCAAAAAAAAAAAAAAACAAATTCTGGCTGGGTGCGGTGGCTCATGCCTATAATCCCAGCACTTTGGGAGGCCGAAGTGAGAGGATTGCCTGAAGCCGTGGGTTCGACACCAGCCTGGGCAACTTGGCGAGATCTTGGGTCTACAATAAATAAAAAAATTAGCCAGTCATGGTGGCACTTGCCTGTAGTTTCAGCTACTCGGATGGCTGAGGCAGAAGGATCACCTGAGTTCAGCAGGTCGAGGCTGCGGTGGTCACTCCAGACTGGGTGACAGAGTGAGGCTCTAACTAAAAAAAAAGAAAGAAAAAGAAACATTGACAGAAAAGATTCACTCTGTTCCTCAAGTAAAATGGAACTATTGAGAATTTCATTTCATTCTGAATTGCCTGGGGACTATTATAAGGACCCCTATTCTCATCATCATCATCATCATTATCTGCTATTTAGTATCACGTGCCAGATAATTTGTAGGCCTTTTATGCATGTTATAGATGTATAATCCTCATAATAATTTGTTCAAGAGCTCGTATTTAGTAAATAGTCAGGATTAAAACCCAAGGCCGCTTGATTCTAAAGCCTTCCATTTTTTTCTTCATAATATAGAGCTACTAATTTATCTTTTTTAGTAGATAAAGAATACATACATTGTTTAAAGTAAGGCATAGCTGTGTTGATATTGTGATCAGGATATCATTTAGTACTTATTAACATTTCTCAGAACTAGTAGCATTCTCTAAAATGTTTTTCATAACACTTGTTCCGGGAGATATTAGGAAGTATAACTTGAAAAGTGAGTTCTGTGGTCAATTAGATTTGGTGAACATTAGGTTAAGCAGCTTTGTTTACTACAGGATTTTTTAAAGCCTTCGTCATGCTAACATATACTGTGAGTCTCTCCTTCTGGTTCTTCTCTTAGCTAGGTGTTGGGATTTCTGGATCTAACTTTCCTTCAAATCCCACAGATGACACTTTGGGAACCACTGACTTAGGGCTTATATGATATCTTTTTATCACAGTCTACTTTGGACAATAATATACCACTTTACATATAGGACAAGAACCTTCTACCAGTATATGTGAGTTACCACTCCTCTTTCTCATATGTTCTTTTTTGTCATACATTTTACTTTGCTATAAGCCCTGTAATACATTGCTATTCTTTTTGCTTTAAACAGTCAGTAATTTTTTTTAAGGATTAAAAATGAGAAAATCGTATCTTTTATGTTTCTCGTACAAATTTATGTTTCCAGCACTCTTCTTTTCTTTGTGTGGATCCAATCTGGTATTATTTTCCTTCTGCCTGAAGAAGTTCCTTTAATGTTTCTTGTAGTGCAAACCACAGAGAAAATAGAGGCTTTGGGCATGATCTCTCCCGGCATGCTTCTCTTTCCTTTCTCTTTACCGCTATTCTTTTCTCTAACAATGTCTATTTTTAACTTCTTTCACTCTAGCTCAGAAAGAGCACCGGTGCTTTTGCCCAAGATTGCCTAATTCACCTGTACCCTGGGTACCATTCCATTACAACTCCAGTGGGATCCTTACTCCATCAGAACTTTTCCTGTGTCTCCCATGTCTTCCCTTTAGCCTACAAGTGTGCTCAAGTCATTCATTCTGGATCACTTTTCCCACGGCTCTGCCTTCTCAAGCTTCTGTTCTCTCTTCACCTCTTCACATCAGACTTTCCCAAATGTAGTCTATACTTTTTCAGTTCCTTACTGTACAGTGTTTTTACTTCACACTCTGTTAACTGCTTTTACTAAGCTCTCCAGTGACCTCCTGATTACGTTATCCAATTTCTTGTTTTTCAGTCTTCATAAATGCTTGATACTATTTAATGTACCCTTTTTGCAACTCTACCATTTCTCATCTCATTTTCTGACAAGTTTTTTTCTATATCTATCTATCTATCCATCCATCCATCCATCCATCCATCCATCCATCCATCTATCCATCTATCTATCTATCTATCTATCTATCTTGTCAGTTGGAGTCTCACTGTTGCCCAGGCTGGAGTGCAGTGGCACACTCACGGCTACCCCAGCATCGACCTTCTGCCTCAGTCTGCCAAGTAGCCGGAACTACAGGCGTGCACTACCACGCCTGGCTAATTTTTTATTTATTGTAGAAACGAGGTCTCACCAAGTTTCCGGGCTGATCTCGAACCCGCGGACTCAGGCAATCCACTCACCTCGGCCTCCCAAAGTGCTGGGATTACAGGCTGAGCCACTAAGCCCGGTCAGTGTTGTTTTTTTTTTTTTTTTATTTCACTGGTTTCTCCTTTCTACCTGCTTCTTAAGTGTTTATATTCTTCAGCATTCGGTTATTGATAATCTTGATTGTCTTCACCTTCTTTATGAGTGGTATTGTCTAATCCAGAGGTTTTTAAAGTGTGGTCCTCAAACCAGCAGTATCACCTAGATCTTGTTGGAAAACCAGATTCTCAAGTCTGAATCAGAAGCTCTGAGGTAGAACCAACCCATCAATTGATTCTGATACATGAAAAAGTTTGAGAACCACTTATCTTTGTCATGTGACTTCAACTTTTTATCTTTAGTCCGAACACATCTTTCCATTCCAGATCCTTACTGTGAACTGAATATTTCCATATGGAAGACCCAAAGCCCCCAAAACCTGCTTCTCCTTCTGTTTCCCATTTTCATTAGTAATGTTATCATCTACCCAGTGTTCCAAACAAGACATCCCCACATTACTTTCTCCCTCTGCTTATACTCTCCACTTTTATCTGCTTTTGAAATAACTTTGGATTTAGAAATCCATTGACTAGAAGAAGGAGGAGAGCTAAGTTAGTGTAGTCAGAGAGGATTAAAAAGGGAACATTTATTCAGTGATTAGGAAGTTACCTGAGAGTTCAGTTTTGCTGAGTAGTAGGCTAAATAAATGAAGTTAAAATCTTACAATAGAATTATTATTGACAACAAAAAATGGGTGAACCACATCTCCTAGAAGAGCAAGGATGAATCTGAAGAAGTTAATAGATGATAAGTTGTTTCATTTATGTAAAGTTCAATAGCATGAAAACTAAGAGCTATATTACTGAGAATGCACATATAGGTGGTAACCGCAGAGAAAAGCAAGAGGATGAAAAACACAATTAAGAATATTTACCCTGATGGCAAAGGAAGGGTATGGGATTGGGGAGAGCTATATAGAATACTTCAAATATGAAGGCAAAATGTCTTTCTTAAACTGGATGGTGAGTACATGGGTGTTCTCTGTAGTATG